GGGGGGTGTAATTAAGTTTTACAATCCGTTCGTTTTATTTTTGATGTCATCACCCGTTTGTTTCACGCATCACAATTATTTATTTATCACAGGTGGGATCTGAGCTGAAGCGCCAGAGCCACAGTTCGGGTGCAGAGGGTGAGGGCAGAGACCCTTCGAGGCTCTGGGTCCTGTCTCTCCTGACAAGGCTCCTCTTCTTTTTCTCCTCCTGGAGCTTTGCCCCCAGGGAAGAAGATCCCAAAGACAGGGACCACTTCCCAGAGGATTTCCAGGTGGTGTGAGCTCAGCTCTGTCCCTGTTTCCTCACAGACCCCCTTGATCCTGAGGCAGATCCCACCTCCTGCAGCCCCCAAGCCCTGCCCCCTGTGAAGGCACCTGGAAAGAAAATACTTAAAACACCCCTTAAAAAGGCAGAGTGAGGCCTAACTCTGAGCTTTAATCTTATTTACAGGAGGTTTTTTTTGGTTTTTTTTTTTTGGTTTTTGCTCCCCAGAACAAACTCACTTTGTTGTGGTCGCTGCAGTGTTCAGACATCGATTTGTAAATCACTAAATAAGGGGATTTCACTCACAGGGAGACCCGGTGAGTGTTTATGGAAGCTTTAAATATGTATAAATATTTTTGTGGCTTCATATAAAAATATTTGGGGTTTAATTTTCGCACGCAGGAATTGGGATGCTGTGCCTTTACCAGCTTCTGATTATTTTTTTTCCCCCTTATTTCGATTGGTATCAAAGTACATTTGGATAATTCCAAAATTCAATTAACCCGAAAACAAAGTAACATTTTCAATTGTGTCTTTATCGCTTAAATAAATGTTGCTGGAATGTGCTGGGCACAGAGGGCGAAAAGTAAATTTATCACTACATATCTTTCGTGTTTGAAGCTGCCTGATCTCTTAAACAAAGGGAGATTTGGGTTGTGTGAGTGGTTCTCATCCCAAACTCTCAAAGGTATTTAAGTGCCAGGAAATCAGCAAGGATCTAGTGAGACTTCAAAATTGCTTAAGAGGTTTAGGCATCTGCTCAGCTCCTCCTGCCTTGGTGGGAGGCTGACATTTGCTCTCTCTCTTCATGGCTGGTCACCTTAATTCATTTGAAAACCTGGCCCCAAATCCCTCAAGTTCTTAGAATAATGAGATCTCATTCCTTTCCCACCAGGGTTTTATTCAGAGACGGGGGAAGGAAAACAAGCTTCCTCACTTTCTCAGATCTCCTTTCAGCTTTGGGTGAATCAGTCCAAAAAATAAGGGCGATATTCTGAGTTTGGAGCTAAATTGGAATAGAAAGCAGTTGGATAGAGAAGCTTTTCCATGCAGTGTCAACTCTCTGCTGCCAGGGAACAAGGGACAGGCCAAGGGGAAACGGCCTCAGGCTGGGCCAGGGGAGGGTCAGGTTGGGGCTGAGGAGGAATTTGTTGCTGGAAAGGGTGGTGAGGCCTTGGCAGGGGCTGCCCAGGGAGGTTTGCAGTGCCCATCCCTGGAGGTGTCCCAGGAAGGCCTGGCCGTGGCACTCAGTGCTCCGGGCTGGGGGCCAAGGTGGGGATGGGGCCCAGGGTGGATCCATGGGCTGGGAGGGCTTTTCCAGCCTCCATGATTCTTTGATTCTGTGAAAAAATTACATGGAAAAATGTAAATAATCAGCATTTGGTTCCTGGTGAAAAGTGTCTGTAAAGTGCTCGGGAAAGGACAGGGCTGGGATGTCTTGGCAGGGCTTGGGTTGGTTAAGGAGGCAGTTTCAGGAGTGCTTGGAAATGCAAATATTGCATCAACTGTTGTGGTGCCAGTGCTGGTTGCACCTGTGGCTTTTAAGAAGGGAGAGACCCTCAGTGCAGCTGAAATCTCACTTCAGTGAAACCAGGAAGTTAAGAGAGCTGGAGGGGTTTCCCTGGAGAAGAGAAGGCTCCAGGGAGACCTGAGAGCCCCTTCCAGGGCCTAAAGATGATCCAGGAGAGCTGGAGAGGGACTTGGAACAAGGGGGAATGGCTTCCCACTGCCAGAGGGCAGGATTAGATGGGATATTGGGAAGGAATTGCTGGCTGGGAGGGTGGGGAGGCCCTGGCCCAGGTTGTCCAGAGAAGCTGTGGCTGCTCCTGGATCCCTGGAAGTGTCCAAGGCCAGGTTGGACGGGGCTTGGAGCAACCTGGGCTAGTGGAAGGTGTCCTCTAAACACCTTCATCTGGTTCCAGAAATCAGGAATTGCTGTACTGTGTCCATCCCTCTCCCAGGAGTGTTTTAAGTTTGAGAATTGCAGCGACCTGGGCACAGAGCTACACATCTGGAGCACCAGCTGCACATCTGGAGCATGCTGGAGGGCAGATGGGCAGCAGCAGCAGAGGGACAGAAAGAGAATATTCTTCTATGGAAAAAACGAACTGGTTGAGTCTGTGGACTTCAGAAACGATTTTGGAAGCGTGGCTGTGGATTTGGAACGAGACCTTGGGTGGATGAACCTTCTTTGTTCTGCCTCTGGAAGTGCAGGGTGGGCATTGATTTCCCCCCCGAGGGAGTTTCCATGGCAGCCCCGTCGATGCCTGCGTGGAGCTGTGGGGACCAGCAACGAGACAGTGCCTTTGATCACAGAGGTCTTTTCCAACTGGAATGATCCTGTGATTCCATGCAGATCCCAGGGCTGAGGGTGTCTCCCTCCATATCCTTTTTTTTTCTCCTGCACCTTCTCCTCACCTTCCTTTCCAACCGTGGAAGGACTCGGTGCATCCCGTGTTCCAAACAAACCACGGTTTGAATTCCTGAGCACCTGGAAAGCTGGAAATCCTGACGGGCACGGTGTTGGGAAGGGTGGGCATGTCCCTGGGGTCGTGCAGGGAAGCTACCAGAAGAATCCCAGGAGGAGAACTTTGGACTGATGCCTGGGATGTGTCTGGTAGCAGCACACGAGGAGCAGTGCCCGCCTGTGCGGGGCTGGTGGGACACGTGGTGGGGTGTCCCCTCCTTGGCTCCCACCTCCACGTGTCCCGTGACCACTTCCATGGATCCCACTGGGATGAGTAGAGCTGTTCTTGGCCGTGGGGGTCCAGTGGAGCCGCGCAGGGAGCATCATCCCTGGGGCTGGTGAAACGGCTCCTGGGACGGGAAGAGGCTCCTGGGCAGGGGGGAGTGGAAGGAATGGGGTTAAATCTGCGCAGTTTGGGAAGAGGCATTTTGGGATGGCATCCCGGAGATGGTGCTGGAGTTGTCAAGTCCCGTCTGTGCTATTGCTGGCACAGCTGTGAGCCTTCTGCAGGCAACAGGAGGGGGGTTTTGCTTTCAGGGGCTTGTGAGACAGGAGGGAACCTGGGGGAGAAGGAAGGGTTGGGAGGGGGGGATGTCTTGTCCCCCAAACAATCAGGGCTTGTGTCTTGTTACTGCTGACTCCAGTTGTCCTCCCACTGCACTTGTGATCAGTGTTGGTGCCATGGGAACTGCTTGTTCTGCCTGGAGCACCTCCTGGAGATGTCCCAACCCTTTTGTGCCCCTGGAGTGGTCTGTGTGCTGTGCCTGTGTAGGTTCCATCCCACCCCAAGGGCTGTGAGGAGCAGAGTTGCCCTAAAACCTTGATACCCTTTTAAATCTGTTTTGTGGCCTGGCTCCAGGGTGCTGATTGCAGAGAAAAGGGGCTATAAATGGCTTAGGTTTGGTTCTGCAGGTTGACCACACACAGGCTGGGTTTGGGCTAAAGCAGGTTCACAGCCCAGCATTACTTTGTCTCATCCATGGAAAGTTTCACCTGGGGGATGTGGAAACCTGAGTTCTCACCGTGGGCCCCTCGGTGGGTCAGAGAAAAGTAGCACCTGATGAAATTGTGGCTCCCAAGTTTTGGGATCTGCAGGCTCATCTACGGGATTTGTTCTAAAAGTAATAATTTCCCTCCTTCCCCCCCAAAAAAAATTAATTTTTGACAAAATCAAAATATTCTGCAAAATAATACATGATGAGACTTTGGTTTGGAAGCCTTGGGGAAGAGACTTTGTTGCCCAGAGCAGCTGTGGCTGCCCCTGGATCCCTGGAAATGTCCAAGGCCAGGTTGGATGGGGCTTGGAGCAACCTGGGCTGGTGGAAGGTGTCCCTGCCCATGGCAGGGGGTGGAATGAGATGATCTTTAAGGTCCCTTCCCCCCAAAACCATCCTGTGGCCCCAGTTCTGTTCTAAGAACTAAACATGTTTCTCATCCTGTTTGGTATTTGCAGGATTTTTTTTTTTTTTTCTGTTTTCCAACTGGAAATCTTAAAAGTGGAAATTGAAGTGAAGCGTTTTGGAATTCATTTTGCTTCATGAAAGAGATAATTTTTCCATATCAAATTAGGGAGAAAATGCTGGAATTTGAGGGTTTTTTCCCACCGGGTGTGAAATCTGTGTTACTCAGACCTGTTGGCTGCAGCCTGACCAGTTGATTGGACCTTTTCCCAAAGCCTTCCCTCAGCATTTCTGCTGTGTCAGACACTTTCCAGGGACCTTTCCTAAAGTCGGTTGCTGCAGAGTTGAATTAGAATAAGCTCAAAAAAAACCCAAAAAACCCCAGCCAAGCTGCAATCAAAGGTCTGGAAATCTGGAATGTGTGTGAGATGGGTGTTTTCACACTGTAGCCCGTCCAAGTGTTGCCTCCTGCCTGGCAGAGCCACAATTTCTAGAGTCTAGAAATTTAATAAAGTAATGTTTTCATCAAGCAGAGCTTTCCAAAACTGGAAAAAAAAGGGAACAACAACCCACAACCAGGCGGAATTAAAGGCAAATCTGGGCACTCAGAGCCCTGGGGAGAACAAGATTCTTTGAGACAGGGGTGGGAACTGGCAGCCCTTGACCATTTCCATGGGTTGATCCAGTAATTCCAGTCTTGAGAGGGATGGAAGGACAGTTTTCCATGTGGATTTGTGGCACATCCTCACGGACCGTGGCTCCTGGTGGGTTATCCTGATGGTTTCCTTAGGTCCCCTGGTTGGGGATGTTCCTCTGGTGGCCTGTTGGCTCCTTTTGGGAGGTTAACACTGTGCTGTGTGTCCCCCAGGCGAACCTGAAGAAGTTCATGGAGTACGTGCAGATGTTGAACGCGGAGAAGGTCTGCAGGCTCCTGGAGAAGGGACTGGACCCCAACTTCCATGATCCGGATACTGGAGGTGAGCCTGGCTGCTCCAGGGAGGGCAGGATGGCAGAGCAGGGGCCCAGGAGAAAGCGCCCAGGGGACACAGTGGGAATTGTGGGCAGGGGTTGGTTTTGAGGGGGTTTCATGATCGGTGAGTTTGGAACAGGGAGGTGTGAGCTGCTTCTCTCAGCAGTGTGTCCTCTTATGGAATTTGGGAGCTTGAGGGTGCAGAACACTCCTGGGAGAAGATGGTTAATGTGTCAGAGGTCCAGAGTCTGGGAATACAGCGTGACATGGAGGAGCTGTGTGTCCACACATCCCTCAGTGGGATTCTGGGGAAGGTGAGGCTCCCTCTGGACTGAAAAGTTGGGCAAGTTATGGGTCTGTCCATTAAACAGTCAGAAGGTCCAAGAAGTATTTTGGGCATCAAGAAAACAAAATCTTGGCCTCTGGTTTCATCAGGGTTTTTTTTCCCTTCATTTCTTTATTTTTCCTGTTTCTGAGCAAAGCTCACCCAGCAAGGGCTGGTCAGGTTCTCTGCAGGTTCCAGCCTGTGAGAAGCAAGACTCAGACTCCAGATGTTTTGGGAACCAAGGAGTAGCCAGGGAGGACTTCCCTCCATCTCTTACTCTTGTTGTGAGAGAGAAGTTACTGCTTTTGTTGTTGCTGTTTTACAGAAGTGCAACTTATTAGTATTTATTGTGGAGTTTTGGGTGAGCATCACGGGCACGTCTCCAACTCCCTCCTCCAGTCAGATGATTAATTTTCTGTGTTTCTGGTTCACTTGGATGGTTTGTCAGGTTGTTGCTGAAACACTTTATCTCTGTACTGGGAAATGTAGGGGGTCCAGAACGTTTTCCAGCCCGGAGATCAGGTGCTGTGTGATGTCACTCACACCATTAATCTCTCATATCCATGGCTGCCTCCATTCCTGTTGGGAATGGTCTTCCCTGAGCTGGGAAGGTGAAAGGTGCAGCCAAACTCTGGCAAGAACCAGTGTTTGTGTTGTTTCTTTGCTGGTGAAGCCTCTCCTGAACCTGCCAGAGTGTCGTCATGAACAACTGCTCGGGTGAAACTCAGCCAGTAACAGTGTCCAAACAGCCCAGCTCCAGGGGGATTTCCTTTTTGTCCAAGACCTTGGAAGCATTTTGAGGGATCTTTTTTGTAAAGAAAGCTCCTCACCCTTCTGAAGCTGATGCAGCTTTCCAGAGGGAATCACGTTGGAGATGCCGAGTCCTGTGTGCGAAGATGCCGTGAGAGGTTTGGGTCTGGTGAGGTTTGAACCAGGGTGTTCTGTCACAGGAGGAAGGAACAGGCTCTTGAGAGCTGTTAAATGTAGAAGGGGAGAAGGAGAGACACCTGAGCCAAAGAGGTGTTTGGATCTGGCTCACAACTGAGGGCAAAACCAGAGTGGAAGCTGCGAGAGGAGAAGGTTGTGTGGAGGCCTCACAGCCCCTTCCAGTGTCTGAAGGGGCTCCAAGGAAGCAAGAGAGGGACTGTTCAGCTGGAATTGCAGTGACAGGACAAGGGGAAATGGCTTCAAACTGAAAGAGGGGAAATTTGGCTTAGACATACGGAAGAAATTGTTCCCTGTGAGGGTGGGGAGGTCCTGGCAGAGGTGTCCCAGAGAAGCTGTGGCTGCCCCTGGATCCTTGGAAATGTCCAAGGCCAGGTTGGACAGGGCTTGGAGCAACCTGGGCTAGTGGAAAATGTCCCTGCCCATGGCAAGGGGTGGAACTGAGTGGTCTTTAAGGTCCCTCCCAACCCAAACCTTTCCATGATTCTATGAAAACAGACCCTTGGAGCAGGAGGAGTCTTGGACACCTCACTCCTGGAGTGCCAAACCTTGTGGAGAAACCCTTCATCCCTGTTTGCTTTGCAAGCTGTTTCGTGAACATGCAAGAATGACACCAAGCTGCTGATCACTGTTCCTGGCTTCCTGGCACACAGGAGCAGATGGAGCTGCTGTCCCCCTGCCCTGACCTCGTGCATCTCTCAGGGTGCTCCTCTCCCTCCACGTGTCGCTCTGTGTTCCCTCGGCAAAGCTTCAACGTGTTTTCCAGCAAGTCATCCCTCCTGATTCGAGGAACAGAAGATCCCTGCCTTTCCTTGGTTATTTGGTGAATCACCCTGGCTGTTTAAAACTCTTCTCCCATTTAAACTGGTGCTTCCAGGTGTCATTACACTTGATCTTCCCTATTGAAGATCAAGGCAACGTTCAGTCTGCCTTTCCTTCATTAAAGAGGGGCCCAACTCCTCCAGCCTTTCCTTTGAAGGTGTTTTCTCCACTCTCCCTGTCATTTTTTGTGACTTACATGTCGCTATTCCATTTTGAGGAGGACTTTAGGAGTGTGGGGAGCAGACAGGCTGCTGCCTTCCCCTGTCATTCCTCAGGGACAGCTCTTCCTGCTGGGCCCTGCTCTGGGGAGGACAGGGGTGACTCTGTGTCACTGGGATGGCACCCCCGTGTTGCTCCTGCTGGGTGGAGGGGCTGGAGGGGTTTCCCTTCCTGTTCCTCCTCCTGGGTTGTGTCCTGCCCCCACCTTAACCCATCCCATGATGGATGAAGTGGAGCCTCTAAGCAGTTCCTTGCCTGGGAGCTTGCTTTGTTTTGAGGAGGTTTTTTGAGCAGTGTGTCCCTTCCCCCAGCGTGAAGCCTCTCAGATACATCCTCCAGGATCCATCTCTCCCCTTCCTGGTCCTGGGATTGCCTGGTCCTAGTTGCTCCAAGAACTCCTCCATCCAAGGCCTTGTGGAACCTGCAGGTCTGATCAGAGATTTGCGTTTACTTCAGGACAATGGCAGCAGCCATGGAAACCCTTCCAGTGTCTAAAGGGGCTCCAGGAGAACTGGAGAGGGACTGGGGACAAGGGATGGAGGGACAGGACAAGGAGGAATGGCTTTAAACTGACAGAGATTAGGGTTGGATGGGATATTGGGAAGGAATTGTGGCTGGGAGGGTGGGGAGGCCCTGGCACAGGTTGCCCAGAGAAGCTGTGGCTGCCCCTGGATCCCTGGAAGTGTCCAAGGCCAGGTTGGATGGAGCCTGAGGTTGGATTTCTGTGTGCAAACCCATGAGGAAAAGGAAGATTAGGAAGGACACTTGGATCTCTACCTTCTGAAAGAGGTCTCGGTGTTGTCACCAAGTGAATGATATGAGGCACATGGTTGAATTCTTGGTCCTGTACAGGGCCTGGAGCTGGACTTTGATGATCCTTGTGGGTCCCTTCCAGCTGAGGTTGTTCTGTAATTCCACGATTTTCTCAGTTGATTTGTTTCCCACTGCAGGTTTTCCTGAAACACTTTGATTGATGCCTGTCAGTCGTGATCCTTTTCTGTGCCATCTCTCTCTGGGAGAAAATAAATGAACATATGTGGAGGAGAGTTTGATTTTAGTGAATGGTGAAGTGAAAATGTAATTTTCTGTGTCCTTCCTGCTCTGTCTTTACGTTCCCTAAGCCGAGGGGGAGGGATGGAGGAATATTTTGTCTTGTTTGATATTCAAGGGGCTTAAACCAAGTCTCACTCTGCAACTCAGGAGTCTCCAAATAGAGCTCCTGCCATCCCCAAGGTTAATGAAAGGAGGAGGCTGTTGGTTTGCCCAAACTGGGAAGGACACCAGGACTTGCCAGACACAGGAAACCTGGGAATGAGAATGAAGCCAGGGAGGGCACACTGGAGGGCACCATCTCCTTGCCAGTACTGGTGGAAGCAGAGAATGGACACAGAGAGAAAGAACAGCTTTAATTTAATACTTAATTTCCTCTTCCAGAGTGGGAAGGATTTTGTCTGGGGATCTGGGGTGATTTATGACTTGGACTTTGATTGTGTCAGGGCTGAGGCACTTCAGGAGCTGCCTTCTGTGCCTCCAGTTCTGGACAGAACCTGACTGGGAGTGGGTCTCTGGGAGCTGCCTTTCAATGGGGTTTGCTCTTAAATCTGGCTTGCAGGGCTGCAGGGAAACCTCCCTGTTGGAGCACAGAACCCTTTGGTGTGGTTGTTCCATCCAAAACCATCTGTGGGTGCCTGGGATTTACCCCCCAGGGATCCCTTGTCCCCCTTCAGCTGCCACAGTTGTGGCCAAGCTTCCCATGGTAAAACCACCCCATGGTGTGGTGGCCACTGCTCTTGGAGGTGAGGGATAAGCTCTTGGAGAGGAGGAATAATGCCAGGAATTTGGTTTTCTCCACATGGGAAGGTGAGGAGCTGTGGCAGAGTGGCAGCTGAGCACGCCCTGTGTGCCAGGGGCAGCCCCAGCGCCTGGACAGGCACATGGAGCAGGGACAGGAGCCTGGAAACCACTTTCTTCCCACTGAATTCAGCACTTGGCCTGGGCTGAACTGGGAGCTCCTCGAGGCAAACTGGGCTCCCCTGCTTGGAGAAATGTTCTTCTGCAGAGTTTAATCCAGTTAATGACCTGGATGCACCATAAAATGCCCTGTGCTTTGTGGTGGCACCGTGACAGCAGAGCCCGTGGGATGATGTGGCATTCCAGCCTCTCCAGCCTCTGGGTATCTTCATTTAAGCTGCTTTTGGGAGTGGTTTTAAGCTGTGCTGAGGCAGAAGGATATATTCTCCTTCCCATTTTTCTGCTGGAGTGAGAAGGCAGGGAAGAGCCACGTCGGAAACCGCTGCAGCCCCATTTGCCATCGTTCACCTCTCAGGGTTGCTGGGCAGATATTCCAGGAAAGATTCACTGCCTTTGAAAGACATTAAAAGGAATAAATTCACAGTTGCTTCCTGTAGGTACATTTTAAAGGGGGTAAAAAAAAAAATTATACACAAGAACTTACTATTGGTCTGAAATTAGACCCAAACCCGGGGGATGGTTCAGGCTGTGGAAAGAGAAAAGCAACCCTGGATATTTAACAAGGGATATTTAACAAGGGTGGCACCTGGGGAACAGCAGGAGAGGGAGAGGAGACCAGGAAACCATTGGATTACAAAGAATGGACTGGGAGCAGCAGTAGGAACCGTGGCCCCAAAATGATGTGAGGACAAATAACAACAATGAGTAACTGGGGAGGAAAAGGGCTGTGGAGCTGCTGCCAGGGCTGGAGCCCCTCTGCTCTGGAGCCAGGCTGGGAGAGCTGGGGGGGTTCCCCTGGAGAAGAGAAGGCTCCAGGGAGAGCTGAGAGCCCCTTGCAGGGCCTAAAGGGGCTCCAGGAGAGCTGGAGAGGGACTGGGGACAAGGGATGGAGGGACAGGACACAGAGAATGGCTTCCCAGTGCCAGAGGGCAGGGAGAGATGGGATATTGGGAAGGAATTCGTGGCTGTGAGAGTGGGGAGGCCCTGGCCCAGGTTGCCCAGAGAAGCTGTGGCTGCCCCTGGATCCCTGGAAGTGCCCAAGACCAGGTTGGAGCAACCTGGGATAGTGGGAGGTGTCCCTGGGAGCAGACCCTGACCCCCCCCTGGCTCCCCCCTCCTGTCAGGGACTTGCAGAGCCAGAAGGTCCCCCCTGAGCCTCCTTTGCTCCAGGATGAGCCCCCCCAGCTCCCTCAGCCCCTCCTGCTGCTCCAGACCCTTCCCAGCTCCCTTCCCTTCCCTGCACACGCTCCAGCCCCTCCAGGTCTCTCCTGTCTGAGGGGCCCAGAACTGCCCCTAGGATTCCAGGGGGGCCTCCCCAGGTCTCAGCACTGGGCCTGTGCCCACAATATTCCCGCGAAATCTCACATCTCCCTCCCACACCCACGAATGGGTCCCTTCCCCTGAGCAGTGTCTTCCCTGGCTGGTCCCTGTTTTCTGCTGGGGATCCCCTGCTCTCACTCCTTAATTACTTTAAGCATTTGTTTGGCTTCACAATTCTCCAAGAATCAGCAGGCTGGAATCACTAAAGTCCTGGATTAGTGGTTACAATAGATTTAGGGAACAAGTTCCTGGCTGCAGTTCCTCAGAAACGCCCAGTTTGGACCTTTCTCAGTCTTTTGGGACCCAAGAAAATGGGATAGATTTGTCAGTTGAGTTTGGTGTGTTAATAACAGAGACTGCAGGGATGGTTTGAAGCCTTTTCTGTCACTTTTATCTTTCCATAAAGATAAAATAGGTGTTATTTTAAAATAAGTATTATTCTATAATATAATAAATATTTTATAATAAATATTTATTATTTTATAGTTAATAAATATAATTTATAACAAATAAAGTAGAAGACCCAGCTCTAATGTTCACATCTATTGGTGGTTCCTCTCACTGACAAACCCTCTTGACCACGATCTTCACTAATCTTTTTTTTTATATTGGTGTCTTATAGACAAACCCCAGAGAGTTTTAGCAGAGCCACAGAACCTTGTCCAACCTTCTCATCTCATTTCAAAATTTAGTTAATAGCAGTGCTTTGAAGTGAATATTTGTATTTTTTTTAATTTCTATCTCAAACCATTTTTGTAATTCGAATAGTTATTTTTGCTATATTGGGAGGTGTTCTCCCTCTCTGGGGTGAGGGTTGGGTGGTTGGAGGTTGCTCCTGGTGATGTGAGAATCATGCAGGACATGTGAAGGGACTCAGGGCATTCCTGGGAATACTGGGATGGTTCTGGATGTGCAGCAGGACAGCAACCCTTTATCCATGCTTTGTTCAGGAGGAAGCTGGTCGGGGACACTTCCACCCCTTTCTTCTCCCCGTTGTATCAATGGTATATCCATATCCCATGGCCAGCAGTGGCATTTCTGCCATTCCTTAAATTTTCAGTGCTTTCCTGCCTCTCTCTTCTGTGGGAATCCCATCTGGGACGAGGCTCTTTCTGTTGGTAGCACCAGCCTGATTTTGGGTATCTCGAGGGGCGGGTGGCCACAGAAGGGTCCCTGGGTTCATCTGTTCCCTTCTCAAGACATTTTTGCTGCTTTACTTCCAAACCTGTTCCATAACAAAGATGGGGAAGGGCCTTGAGGGAAAGCTGTGTGAGGAGACTGAGGGCACTTGGTATGTTCAGCTGGAGAAGAGGAGACTGAGGGGAGACCTCAGTGCAGTTCCAACTGCCTGGGGAGGGGCAGAGGAGGGGCAGGGACTGAGCTCTGCTCTGGGGGGACCAGGGACAGCACCCAGGGAGTGGCTGGAGCTGTGTCAGGGCAGGGTCAGGTTGGATCTCAGGGAAAGGTTCTTCCCCCAGAGGCTGTTTGGGCACTGCCCAGGCTCCCCAGGGCAGTGGGCACAGCCCCAAGGCTGCCAGAGCTCCAGGAGGGTTTGGCTGATCCTCTGGGGCACAGGGGGTGACCCTTGGGGTGTCCTGTGCAGGGCCAGGGGTTGGACCTCATTATCCTTGTTGTTCCCTTCCACCTCAGCATATTCTGGGATTCTGTGATAAGTTTCCCCCCTGTTCCCCACACAGAGCAGCTCCCCATGACTGGGTGGGCAGGAGCACCTCGTTGGGTGGAAGCTGCTGATCTGGCTCCCGTTCAGTTTGAGGTCACACTCACTCAGACGGGGCTCGGTGGGCACGTCCCGCTGGGCCCCACTGGTGCCCGTGAGGGGTGGGCTCCCCGTGGTCCTCACCCACGTCTCTCTCCGTGCTCCCAGAGTGTCCCCTGACAGCGGCGGCGCAGCTGGAGCTCAGCTCGGAGATGATCAAGGCCCTGAGGAACGGGGGAGCCCACCTGGATTTCCGGACGCGGGAGGGGATGACGGCCCTGCACAAGGCCGTGCGCTGCCGCAACCACGCCGCGCTGCTGGTGAGTGCGAGAGGGGGGCTCTCCCTGGGCTCTGCCCTCCTCTGGATCTCTTTCCCCATATGGTGTGGGGCGCACCAGTTCTAGTTCCATTTCCATCTGAGGAACCGTTTCTGACGGCTGAGGTGGATAGGGAGGGGGGACTCCAGCACCAGGGGTTTCTTCAGGTCCCGAGCCCGGAGGGGAGAGGTGCTCTCCCCTCTCTCCACCCATGTGGTCCCATGGTAGCCACAGACACAGCACACAGGACGTGGAGAGGAGGCAAGAGAGAGTTCATTGTTAGGGGGGTTACATTTATAGGGTTAGGAGGATTCACAGAGCAACCAATTACCAATTGCAGGAAGGGGTGAACAACCTATAGGAAGGAGTTAAAAAGGTCCAGTGAGAAGACCTCAGGACATCTTCCCAGGACACTCCTGCATGGGAGATAAGAGTCCTTCACAGAGGGTGTCGGGAAGAAGGAGCAGTGACTTTGCAGAAATACAAAAAGCCGTTTTGAAACATGTTTGAACCACAGTTTCTCATATACTGCAGATCTGCTGCCACACCCTCCCCTCCCTGCACCCCCAGAGCCACCCCTGGCTGCCCTTCCTGGCACAGCACCTCTGGTGCTGCCCACGGGGTGCCTCGTGGGCACAGGGGGGTGGCCAGAGCATCCCTGGCTGGTCTTCCCTTCCCGGCGGAAGGGTTTTCCTCCTGGAGCTGCAGGGCGAGGTGGGCTCTTCTCTTCCAGACACTGCTGGACCTGGGAGCATCCCCGGACTACAAGGACAGCCGGGGGCTGACACCCCTGTACCACAGTGCCATGGTGGGGGGGGACCCGTACTGCTGCGAGCTCCTGCTGCACGACTACGCCCGGCTCGGCTGCGTGGACGAGAACGGCTGGCAGGAGATCCACCAGGTGGGATGGGATCCAGTGGGAGATGGGATGGGATCCACCCGGGTCACCGCTGTCCTGGGGCTGATGGATGGGGTCCTCCCATCCCCTGAGGTGCCATGGGCTTCGGAGGCACTGCTTGGTGGGGGTGGTGGGGGCTGAACATGCTGTGCCAGCTCTGTCTCCATCCCAGGTTGGTGTTCCGGCTGTTTTTGTCTGGGATCCTCCCCAGTAGTGTCTGGGTTCCTCCCCAGTAGTGTCTGGGTTCCTCCCCAGAAGTGTCTGGAATCCTCCCCAGATGATGCCTGGCTCAAAGGATAATGCTTTCAGGTCCTGCTCCAGCACCTGAGGCATCCTGGTTCCAAACCCAGCTGTGCCTGTCCCTGTTCTACACATTGACAAGTGGATTTGGCAGAGGGAAGGCACAGATTGGGGGTTAGGAGACCTGAGCCAGCTTTGTGCTTCTCCCTTTGGGTGAAGGGGGATGAGCCCATGTTGGAGGGCAGGTTGTCTTTGGGCCTGTGGCCTCCCAAAACCCCCCTGCTGTCTACCCCCTCCAAGAGGGATGAGTCCTGGCAGAGCTACGGGTGAGAATGAAAAACAGGAGGTGTTTGTGATGGCAGTTTATGGATACAAGTGTCTCTGCTGCCTCCGTCCTCCTTGGCTGATCTTTGGGAGCTGCCGGGCCTGGGATGGACCAGAGGGAGAGGAAAATGCACCAGTTAACCAGAGGTGTGAGGCCTTGTCCTCTGCTTGGCCTGGGTGTGCTCAGGGCTTCCTCTCACCTGCAGTCACACTGAGACAGCCACCAGTCTGGAGGAGGCTCTGGGACCAGCACGGTCCCAGATTTTCCCATAGATCCGGAGGTGATTTATCCCATGAGTGCCCAAGTGTGTGGAGCTGTGAGGAGCAGCAGCATGTCCATGTTTACAGTCTGGGTTACAGCTCTAGCCTGGCTGCACTTCTGGAGCGTGGCTGGACCCAGCAGAGGATGTTCTGGGGTTTATTTATCACCTTCCTGCCGCTCCCTGATTCTCCCCTGTTCCCTTTTTCCCACCCTGGCTGTGGAGCAGGCCTGTCGCTACGGCCACGTCCAGCACCTGGAGCACCTCCTGTTCTATGGGGCCGACATGACTGCCCAGAATGCCTCAGGAAACACCGCCCTGCACATCTGTGCCCTCTACAACCAGGTACGGGGGCACCAGGGACGGCAGGTGGGCACCATCCTGGCTGAGACAGAGATGGCACAGAGCTGGGGCCGCTCTCAGCGCTCCTGCTGCTCCCAGATCCACAGGGTTCCTCTGAGTGCAGTCCAAGAGGCTGTTTGTGTTGGTAGCACCAGCCTGATTTGGGATTTCTCAGGAGTCAAGTGGCCGTGGTTTGATCTGTTCCCTTCCCAAGATGTTTTGCTGCTTTGCTTCCAAACCTGCTCTGTAATTTTCCTTCCAGTTCCTTTTTCCTGCTTCGCAGCAGGTCCCTGGAACTGGCTGGGAGGGAGAATTTTGCTGGGTGGGGGCTTCTAATTTGGCCATGGAGCTCACATTCAATCTGAGGTTGGCGCATCCTGTGGATTCCAGCCCTCTCCAGGGCAGGCACGTGGCCTGGGGTCCTGTCCTGCTCACAAATAGCCCTCAATTCTTCCTGCTAATCTCAGAATTCTGGATAATGTGCAAGCAGCACAGGGCCCCATCTCTGTCCCATTTTCTGTGTGGTCACTCACTCAGCTCAGGGAAGTTGAGGCTGGTGGAAGAGCCCCCTCTGATCTCACGCCCCCGCTGCTCTCGGGGCTGGGCAGGGCAGGATCTGAGCATTTCTCTTGGAGGGTTTACTCCTTCCTAGACAGTTTTATCCATTGTGTTATGTGAGCTTTTATTATAAAGGGAATTTCCAGTTTCTGAGGTGTCCATGCTTTAAAAACTGAGGCCTGTCATGGTTTGCCAGTGGTAGGTGGGGGATGGTTTGTGGCCTGGTGGGTTCCCTCTGCACATCGTGGGCTCTTGGACCCACGTCCCTGCCCACGGGGGTGGGAGGGAGAGGGGCATTGAAGGGTTCAGGGGCTCATAAACACGTTGAATTAACACCATGGAGAAGCACAGAGCATTCCAAACCAACAAAAAGCTTTAGGCAACAGCAGTACCTGGGAACGTGTGGTGGTCTCAGTGCCAATACCCCTGAGGATGGACTGGTCTAGTGGAAGGTGTCCTTGCCCCTGGCAGGAGGTTGGAACTGGATGATCTATAAGGCCCTTCCAACCCAAACCATCCTGTAATTCCATGATTCCATGACTGGGGGCTGGGGATGCCCAGTTCACAGGGGCTGATCGTCCCTCCTCGCTCCTGCCAAGGGAGCTTCCCGAGCTCGGTGGCCCCCGGGGTTGGCTGGGGTGTTGCCACCACTCTCAAGTGCTAATGGTCTCTTCCCTTTCCCCTTGCCAGGAGAGCTGTGCCCGGGTGCTCCTCTTCCGTGGTGCCAGCAAGGAGATTCGGAACTACAACAGCCAGACAGCATTCCAGGTGAGGGGGGGGTGCTGGGCCACGGCCTCCCAGGGACCTGCCCCAGCCAGGGCAGCTCTCAAACCTGGCTGGGGACAAACCCTCTGGCTCGGGATGTCTGTCCTGGCCCCGGCTGAATGGCCAGAGCAGGAGGGAGGAGGAGAGCACGTGGTACCTGTGGGAAGGGCTGGGAAGGTGGTGCCGTGTGGGATGGTGGGACACTGAGCTTGGATTGTCTGGCTGTGTGTCGTGGAGGTGGAAAGGAGAAGTTGTTGATGGCTGTAGGAATGTAAATGTTAGAGAAGGAGGAGAATCCTTGGAGCAGGAGCAGAGTCCTTAGAGCAGGAGCAGAATCCTTAGAGCAGGAGCAGAATCCTTAGAGCAGGAGCAGAGTCCTTGGAGCAGGAGAAGAATCCTTGGAGCAGGAGAAGAATCCTTGGAGCAGGAGAAGAATCCTTGGAGGAGGAGAAGAATCCTTGGAGCAGAAGTAGAGTCCATGGAACAGGAGCAGAGTCCCTGGAGGAGGAGCAGAATCCTTGGAGCAGGAGAAGAATCCTTGGAGGAGGAGCAGAATCCTTGGAGCAAGAGTAGAGTCCTTGGAGCAAGAGTAGAGTCCTTAGAGCAGGAGCAGAGTCCTTGGAGCAGGAGCAGAATCCCTGGAGGAGGAGCAGATTCCTCAGAAATAAAGGACAGTGTTGCCACAGAAATGAACACACCTGAGTTTCTGAAGTCAAACATGAGGGCAGAGGAGCTCTAGTGACACTCTGGAATGGCTTTCTAGGAAATCTGCTGTGTAACACAGGTGGCAAAGGGAAACTTGGTAGTTTTCTCCGTCTTTTTCCTCCCCTAAGTTTGCAAATTGTGGGAAGGGAGCTCCTGCAGGATGCTGTAGGTGAGGCAGGAGGTCTCTTCCCATCCCAGCTCTGTTCTCCTCTTCTCCTACAAAGTGGGAGAGCCTCTGTGCCCGTGCTCCTGCTGCAGCACAGTCCTTTCCCTGAGCACTCTGCAGGAATGTTGTGGCTCAGTGTCCAGCTGATGCTGCCCCTCAGGTGTCCCTGGAGAGCAGAGGGTGTCTGTGAGTGTCCCACTGCCAGCCCAGCTCTGGGGCTGCAGATGAGCTCAGTAACTATCAGCCCTTTAGAAATGCTTGTTCTTGCTTCTCTTTCAGTGGTGGTCGAGGAGGTTTCAGGCCACCAAGTCTCAGGTGTGACCAGGATGGTGTCACACAGCCCTTGTGAGTGTCTAGGGGGAGGTGTCCCTGCCCATGGCAGGGGTGGCACTGGGTGAGATTTAAGGTCCCTTCCAACCCAAACCATCCTGGGATTCTGTGCTTCCATCACACACGTGAAAAAAGCCTCATCACAGACACAACTGCACGTGTGGCACTGTGGCTGCCCTGGCAGCACATCCCAGGGGAGGTGGGCAGGGAATTCCTGGGCAGGTGCTCCTCACGCACTGGAAATGTGCCACGCTGGGTTGTGCTGCACTGGCACGGCCCCCATGGAATCATGGAATGGTTTGGGTTGGAAGGGATCTGGCCATGCAGAGCTGAGTGTGTCCAGGGAGCCTCTTGTGTCCCAAGGAGCAACCTGTCAGATATTAGGAGAAAATTCTTCCCTGGGAGGGTGGGGAGGCCCTGGCACAGGTTGTCCAGGGAAGCTGTGGCTGCCCCTGGATCCCTGGTAGTGCCCAGGGCTGGGTTGGACGGGACTTGGAACAACTTGGTGTAGTGGAAAGTGTCCCTACCCATGGCAGGGTGTGGCATCTTTAAAGTCCCTTTTAATCCAAGCCGTGATTCTTGCAGGAAACTTTCCCAGCTTTCAACAAGAAACTCTCCCTGCCTTTACTGCTTGAGGCTTCACCATGTCATAAAGCCCAGTGCCAACCCCTGTGTTTTCTCATGTCCTGTCTTCTCATGGCCATGGCAATGGGGTGGGATTGGGGCAGGGCAGAGAGAGCCAATACCCACAGAAATCATGGAAATCCCTCTGCTGCTGCCCGGCCACTTGGCCACTGTCCTGCACACACCTCTGCTAATTTGATTGCTGTTGTTAATGAGATACCTTGGTGTCAGTGGCCTGAGATGACTTAAGATAGCAGTGAGTAATTTAGAGGGTTTAGGACCTGTAATCTCCTGGGTTGTGACCCCAAGGCAAACCAGCTCGGTGCAGGGGTGATGTGCCACCTCCTGTGTCACCTCCTGCTGTCTGGAGAACCTCCTTCTGCTGGTGGTGGCCTCACCTCTTTGGGCTGCTCCAGGTTTCAGGGGAGGCAGGAGCAGGGCCAGAGTTTTCCTAGAGTGTCTTCCCAACTTCTGGCAGTCTGCATCCCTCTTTTCCTGAGCCAGGTTTGTACCTACATCACTCTTCCATTGCTCTGAGCTGGTTTTTCACCCATCAGTGCAGGTGCAGGCACTCCCAAAGCTCCCCAGCCTCTTCCAAATACATCCTTCTCACAGAAGGATGGAGACAGCATTTTTTGGGTGGGATATTCCATCCTCGAAATGCACTGGATGGGAAGAATCACCGATTGGTTGGGGTTGGAAGGGCCCTCTGGAGATCTTCTAGATCTTCCAGTCCAACCTAAAGCAGGTTCACCTGCACAGGGCTGCGTCCATGTGGGTCAAAAGAAATTGGTTTGGGTTTCTTTTCCCTTCTGCCAACTGCCTGGATTGTAGCTGGATCGTTATCATGGAATTCTTTGGGTTGGAAGGGACCTCAAAGCTGTCTGTCTGCCCTCCCCATGCCCTCTGAGGGAGCTGCTGGTTCTCCTGCCTTGTATCAAAGAGCCTGGACCATCTGTGCCACTCCTGCCTCTCAGCAGGGCCTGCCTGGTGGTGAGGGGCTGGAGATCTGCTGCCAGCACAGGGATTCTGTTCCCCACGTCAGGAGTTCCCCGTAAACAGCAGGAGGATCCCAAACTGGCTCTTCCAAATGGTTCATTCCTGCTCCCCATCCTTTTTTCTCTCCCCATCGATCCCAGCTGCTCCAGCTGGTTGGTGCAAACTGGGGGTAAGACCCTCGCTCAGCTCTGGTTTCTCATCACTTGGCTCCTCTAAAGTCCTGCTTCCCTTTCCCTCCTTGGTTTTCTGATGTCTTAAGGACATAATAAGTGTTTTCTTCCTCAGGGACACGTGGGATGGGGTTAATCCCATCCCTGATGGGGTCACATGCTGGCAACCCCACACTTGGAACCTCTGGGTCATTTTTCCCCCCTTTTATTTAATAAAAGTTGTCTCTAGCTCCGTGTAAAAAGTGGGACAAGACCAGTTCCTCATGGTCAGGTCACCACCTGCCTTGCACTCTGTTTTTCAGCCTGTTTGAGGTACCAGCAGTTTCCTGCTGAGCATCATCCAGGTTTTATCTTGGTCACAGTGCTGAATTCCCAGTTTTCTTTCCCAAACCTCCCGTTTCTGACATGGGAGTCTGAACTTTGTGTTTTCACTGTCGAGATGGAACCTTTAAGGTTGGAAAAGACCTTTAATGTAGTCGAGTCCAACCGTCAGCTCAGCAGCACCACCACGTTCACCCCTAAACCACGTCCTCCAGTGCCACATCCACACGTCTGTGGGACACTCCCAGGGATGGGGACTCCACCACTCCTCTGGGAAGGCGGATCTTGCTTGTCTGGAAAAGTTTTTGGAGGTTCCTTCCGCTACCTCTGTGCGTTCCTGGAGGGTCTGTGGGTCACCCACAGTGGCCATAAGGGCAGATTTTAGAATCGTGGAACGGTTTGGGTCGGGAAGGGACCTTAAAGACCATCCAGTTATGGGATGGAACCTTCTCCCCTGGGGGTTTCCACAAGTCCTGCCGCTTGTCCAAAACCAAAGGTGGCTTTTTCTGTGTCTCCTCAGCAGCATTTGTGGTTCCTTGTGTCCCTCAGGGGTCATTTACTGACCCAAGGTGGGCTCTGGGAAATAGAAATACATAAAAATATATTAAAATATAGAAATATAGAAATATATACAAACATATGAATATTAATACAGATATAGGTATAAATATGAACATGTGAGCTTCTTATTTTTGAGGGGGTTTATTGATTTTCCAGCCAACAGAGATGGCTATGAGGACCTATCAAAATGTAAGCCCAGTGCTGGAAGTCTTAAATACCAACAGATAATTCAATGGGATACCTTTGTTAAAAAAAAACCCAAACAAACCTTTATAATTCTTTCTCCTATTGATCCAAAGGTTTGTTTGTTTATGTGAGCACGTGACTCAGGTATTGAGCTGAGACCTAAGGTCGTGATTTCCTCCCCTGCCTGATCCGTGTGCCAGAGGAGCCGTGGGATCGCTGCTGTTGGCTCATCCCAAACACGCCTGGGGGAGCTTTGAGGAGAGCAGACAAGGCTCTTAATGAGCAGTAAATGTCAATTTTGTACAAGTTCCTTTGTCCTCGTGACACTCCTGCGTGAACTTTTCCATTCCTACACACGCAGGATTATCAGATGCAGGGTTTAAAAATAGTGCCTTCAAATTCCTTTTAGTTTCACTGAAATTTAACAGTCAGAGCTGCTGCTTTTCTGTCAGAAAATTGTGTGTACTTTTAATTGCTGCATTTTTGTGGGCCTTCCCCCCACAGGCTAAATCCATCCAGGCAGGTTTTTGTGGTGGATGGGTTTTTTTGTGGATATTTTGGGGTAGGTAATGGTGATATAGGTAAACAAGGTTTCTTAGTTCAGTCTTTGCTGCTGTTGAGCTGCTCTGGTTGTGGTGCCCTTGGTCACTTGTGCTGGTAAAAGTGACCCTGGAATCCTGGGGGCAGTTCTGGGCCCCCCAGACAGGAGAGACCTGGAGGGGCTGGAGCGTGTGCAGGGAAGGGAA